ATTTGTCTCGATGCTGGGATCCTTCAAATTCCCATTTTGAAAATAACTGAGAAGAGTGAACACCCATCGTTGGTTAATTGCACTCATTTGTTTAATATAGCTGAATAAACTGAATGACCAAATGCACGAATACTACAAACCTAAGAAATAAGGCCGACGCCAACTTCTGGGAGGGAAAAGGGAAGTAAGGAAATCTGACCTGTAATACGAGTGTGAGACGAGTACGAGCTCAACCATACCAAGGACGACGGAGAGCGGACGACCGTAGACGGTGGGAGCGACGGTGGCACGATCCTCGGGGTAGGATCCACTGCGGCATCGCCCTTCGCACGTAATCGCTGCAATCCATCGCTACCGCCTTTCGTCACCGTCTCAAACTCAATTCTCCGCTTCCGCCCCGCCGACTGTACCTGCTAAGCTGTCAAAACGAAGTAAACCTGTAAGAGCAGAAGGTTGTCTAGACTAGTGACACTACCCAATGGCAAGCATGTCTTTCAAAGTTAGTTTGTGGCCCTTACTGCCGCAGCGCAAATCTAAGGGGGTTAGATCACGAAGGAAATCATAATAGACCCGATTTAACTAAATTAATAATCCCATGCAGGTCTGAGAGAGGAATACAATGGGGAGGGAGACAGAATCAATCTCCCTCACCAAGCTTATAATGTGGAGAACAGTAAAAAGTTTAACATCTTCGAGATCCATATAAATTTCATCCCTCGTCAAAAATGCCGAGCTAGTCCGCGAGAAATACAATAAGCCGTAGTTAGATTGTTTTGCTTTAACACACATACTTCTTAAAATATTGTTCAAGGACCAATTTCGCCTTTGATAATCTACCAACATGTCTGGGAGGCTCAAGTATAACCCACGGGGTGACGAGTGGGTCAGCTATATTGACAGCTAAAAGGCAAGTCGTTTCCTTAACTAACATAACCAACTTATTTTGTCGCAAGATTTCACATCGAGTTATGCTCAATGATAGGCGGATATGGACGAACTACAGAGAGCAAGCAGGGGAAACCAACAAGCATAGGCGAACAAAACGACTAGTACGTATCAGGGCCTAAAAAATAAAAAAAAATTACCAACAAATTTATCATTTTAAAATCATTACGAGCACTGTGCGACAGTGTTTGTGAATAATTGCCTAAGGGTAGAAAATGAACACAAGTTTGTTAACAAGGAAACAGATTACCCACAGGAGTTGACCCAAACTCAGGCGCGCTACCTGTGAGGGTGAAGGGCGAAATGATGCCACAGCAAAGATTTGTATTTAATGGAACACAAAGCCGATATCATTCTCTTCTCGATCTCGGGCTTAAAGAGGTATACTATTTGCACGCCACTTCTTCAAGAGTATATTTAAATTTGCGATAACCGCATGTCGTTTAGGCGAAGCTAATTCCTCTGCTGAAACAACGAATCACCGCTGGGTTTGAGTTCTAATGAAAGCTTTAGCACGTGAACACAGAAAACTGTCAATAGTTTGCAAATATGCATCATCTCAGATAACTTCAGCCTGAAAATTGGCTCAAAGGGAGAGATCTGAGACAATGTGAAGGAGGCATTAGAGATGGGAGCAGTATCAGCATCATGAACATCAAAAGCACTCTTAGGAAAAATCAAGGTGGCCAATGAAGAAACCAGAATAAAGAAAAATAAATATTTCAATCAAAATTGTCTCGACTCACCCTCCAAGCTTAAGCAGACCTTTGAAGAAATTATTTTACACTTTTTGGTATATTTCATGAAAAAGAAAAATGTATTGCCATCGAGTTCACACATATTTTCAAAAGCCGTCTCGCGTGAAGAAAATAAAACGACAAAATAGTACAACACCGATTCCCCATCAAAAGATTGTCCAAATGATGATGCAGAGCAAGATGGCATGTCAGCGTCATCCTCAATGCACGACCTAATCGTCATGTTTAATACACATTTCCTATTAAATGATCCTTTAAAATAGCCTAACGAAATTCAGGGTGACCCAGAAGTTGCTCAAAGTTGAGCTCTGTGGCCTACCCTAAAGTGACAGATAGAGTGCTTGCAAAATGAACTAATGAATTCTAGCTTCCCGAAATGGCGTAGGCGAACTACGTGAGCATGCGACCCGGTCATAAAGTGGCACTTACCGCAAAGAGTAAACCGCCAAGGACCCTGATGCTGGCGGCAAGGTGGCGCTGAATCACATTCTCAAGATGGGGCCCACGGTCAAGGGAGAAGTACAGACCTGCCAGCTGCTTCCTTTGGTCAAATGTCCCACCAAAAGTACTTAACGACTCTGCAAACAAACGCACGCCTGGTTTCCTCTTGCATGTCTTCATAACACGGAGAGAGTCACTATGCTCTCTATTTTTCTCTTCTTGTAGAAAGGCCCCACCGGTCCTATGCCAGCCTCAAAGGAAAAAATAACCACCACAAATCAGATAACTTATTTCTTCCTGATGACACAAACACTTGCACCACAGACCCGGCAGATTTACCTGCCTTTAAAAAACCAACAATAGCAAATATTCCTAAGATTAAAAACGTCCTCCATCCATTTTCATACACGCTTCGCCAAGCTATACTCGATATGACTTGGTGCAGTCGACCATTGTAAGGTGTTAGACAACACTGCACGCATTGATAATGACACGTAGATAATAGAATTGGGCATTTTGAAATAATGAGGGCATTGTTGGAAAAAACCGATGTCGAATGCTCACCGGACATGGGGCATGAACTCAGAAGTGCTAAACGACTAGAAGAAGACAGGACGTCATGGTACTCTTTAGGGGCACGGAAGGAGCTGTGAGCAACAGAGATGGCATAGGCTGCAGTAGCGGAGAGGAGACAGGGCGCCCAGTGGTCAATGAGACGAGAGCAGAGTCTGCAACAGCATCGAGAGGGACCACGCGTCTCGAAGACACCAGCTGAGAGTTGAAATCAAATTGACCGGCCAACGCGCCTGTCCACGCTTCCACGCCCAACTGCTCTCCAAGGCACCGCTATTCGTTGCGCTGATTCAAGAAGGACCCAACATGAGCACTACCCCATTAACAGCATCTCATGCGCGTTCTTGCCTACTTCAGGGAGCCAACAGACGGCGTCCATACCAGTAGCATGGGATAATACAAAAAGCCTACCACCAAAGCATCTTCAAATGGCTCTCCTGCGTCTGCCAATAATTCATATTTTTCAAACAGAACTCGATTTTAAGATTATTTGATCATTTGAAGGCCTAATATGCAAGTAAATGCGAGAAAAGTGCACTATTGAGAATGAAAGAGGAATCTATTAGGTTCCAGGGACACAAAACGTTTTAACAACCACTGTACTTCTAGAACGAATTGATTTACATAGAGACAAAGTTTACTTGTATAAAAGTTACTACAATAAAACATGAGACAAACTCACGACTTAACGCCAATTGCTGAAGTCACCTGTTCCACAGGGGAAAGTACTCCCAAAAATACTTCAAAATGTCTCTCCTGGGATACTTTCGTCCTCTCAACCCTTCACCAACGGAGATTGCATTCTGGAAGTTAACTGTGTTTAGCATTTCGCAATACTTCAGCTCTCTGACAAACCAAACATATGTCAGGATTATGTATTCTCGGTTTTGATGCGGAAAGTAAAAAACTGAAATCGCTCACCTTTACCTCCTGAGTCCTTCTCTGATCTTCAAGTCCCAACTAGCAAAAATTGGTTATACCATTTGCTTAAAAGAATTTGAATTCATTTGAAAAGCACCTGCAATCATACCATATGTTCATTTATCCAGTGAACAAATGAGGCTGAACAAGAGCCTCTACCCTTAACGAGTCCATTGTAATGGTGTCTTTACAGAATGGATGACTTGGTTGGTTGCTTTTCGCACATCTGGCATGGTATTTACGGTCTGAATCCAATGGGGCGTGGAGCAGGAAAACACCACACCAAAACGACTTTGAAATTACCACCTGTGCCCCTCAAATGTATTGGCCGATTCGAAAGAACCGATTATTATTCGTGACCCATTTACTTATCATTTTTGACTAGAAATTTTGCCGTTTTTTTTAAGCAAACCTAAACTTGTAAGTGTTTTTTTTACAATCTACCTGTGCACGTATAATTTTTAAATGCAAAACTTTATGAACGATATGTCCAATTAATCCTATAACAATTTAAATGCAAGTGTAGTAATTTAACTGACTATGAGAAGTGACTGAACCACTTTTTAAGACAAGGATCTGGGTCTTTTCTGCAAGTTACTAATTTAGGGCCCTTTCATTGTGGTAAATTAATAAACACTTTGCATGCTTGTGTAATACTTATGTTGTTTTAATGTGCCTTTCAGGGAGGAGGCAAGCAGAAAATTCGAACCTGGGAACGGGATCGCCCTCTCCCTTACCTAGTGACTGCGCCTCCCCTTCTTCTTGAATATTGTATTTTCCCTATACATCTTGTCGTCTTTAATAAAGATGTCCAAAGTAAACCAACCGGGCTTGTCTAGGAACGCTAGGAATCGGGAAGCGGAGACCGAGGAGTCTCGCTCCACACTTGACCTATTGCAACTTATAGGGCATTTAGTTAGGACGATGTCTTTAGGAAGGACGTGAAATTACACGCTTACACCTTCTGCAGTTCCATTTTTTATTCAAATTTGATGGTAGTTGAACTGTCCTGCTTAGTATCTTTACAAATCCTCTGTGTTTTATGATGGGTTAATCTGAATCAGATTTTGGAAACGCGCTAAAGTTCTACGAACTATAATTATGGCTGATATCTTAGTAATATATTATCTTAGGTCTTCCCCAGTCGTAAAGAGCCAAAGTAAGGTAATAAAAATATACTACAACACACAAAAGAGCTGCTAGATTGCTGGTCCGGTTGGAAGGACGTGTCTTTTGTTCACATGTTATGTTTAACAAGCAATCAAAGCCTTACATCAATAGTTAGTTTCACACAAAATGTTGTCGGGGAATTACTGTTATGTGCCTCATTAAAATTGCTCTTCGATTAATATAATTTCCTTCGTCTTCTGCTTAAGCAATTTATTTCCTTCAACGCGTGATATGAAATTACAGAGTTATTACGTGTAAGCTATTTCTGTCCATATAATAAATACTTAGCTGGACGTGCATTGGCCACCGTAAAACCTGACAGGATCAGCGGCGCATTCTGCCAAAAGACAACTACATAAGAAAGGGGGAAATTCACACTCATCATCCGGTAAATGCAGCCAAGTATACACACCTTCATAATGTCCAGCTTGTCACGCATGATTGTAGACTTCTTGCAGCAGATTTAAAGTGTTATTACTTGCAGAATATTTGTGCAGTATGGGTAAGAAGGGATATCAAAAAGCCATTTGTGTCTAATAAATGCGAAGCAGCTGCTAGATCTTTGTTCGCTGAGTCTATAAAGCTAGAGCACTACAAACCAATTTACTAGGGAATATACAGGTTCTTTCAACAGTGGCTAAGGTAAAATTATAGAAAACAACATATGGAGCTGAATAAGTTGTGGCCAGTAAAGTGTGAATGTGTCAAAGTTTAATCCAGGACTTTATGTCATCAAGTTATTGCGAAAGCCACCAGGCTTTAGGATTGGTGTTGGCGGTGCTCTAAGTGCAGGAATGAGGAAGGGAAGGGGGCGGGTTGTGGAAATGCGTGTAGGGGTGGTTGTGGTGATTGCGATGATTGTGATGTTTGAGTCAACGGTGTTAAGGGAGGAAAGTAGGCTTTGTGGTGGGTTAAGTGGTTTCGGTGCTTTCGGCGCTCTCACTGGAAGGCGTCAATGGAGGGTTGAGGCGATGCGGATGTGCCCTGGTGGTAAGTGGGTGGCGTGCAAATAAATTCATGTAATCGGAATGCCCTAAATCCTTTCAAGAAACAAACCAAACGTTGCTGTTCACCTCCT